GCGGACTTCCATGACCTGTCCAGAGGTTTTGGAACATGGGTTCTTGCGGATTGATTGATACCAAACGGAGAGCACCTCCTTCGTCAGCTCTCCAGAGTCCACCGTACGTCCCTCGCAAAATGACATCATACAGGGCGTTGATAAGATTGTCGTTTAATGTCGCTTAGCACAAGTATATTGAACAGCTAGCCTGGTCACAATTTTGCGCCTTGACCTTTGACCCCCAAAAGTAAAAGTGTGAACCAAAAAGTTCCACCGATCGATCTTTGTGTTTTCTGGCCTCGCTGTCGTCATCGGAAATTTCCTTGGCCGCGCAACATCTAAAATATGCCATGTTCATGAATATATGCCACAGGTCGATTGATCAGGCCTCAGTCATCTTATTGGCAAAAACTGCTTTCAGGGCCTCGTGCAAAAGTTCGGAAAGGGTTGCACGCATGCCATGTTTAGCGCAATTCAGCTGCATGTTTGCGCAGTTGGCAGCCTTGAACCTCTTCTTGGGCTCAGTCCCGGTTGCCGATGCAGATGCTGCGGGATCGGCCTGGGCCACGTCAAGGAAGTGCACCACAAAAGAGGTCACAACATTCCCGGAAGTCCTTGTCAGCCCCACGCTTTCTCGCAGCCTTGCAACGAGCGGGTGCATGCATCCATGCATGGGCTGACTTGATCTTTAGTTCAACACCAAAAAAAGAACAATGCGTGTGGGCACCTTGGCAGTGGCCTTTGACTGACGCCCCTTTCCCCGTGGTGCTTCGGCCTCCAAAGAAGTGGACGGACTGCAAAGCAAAAGTTAGAGCCCAAACGTTGGAAACGAACGGTTCCATTCAAGTTGCCTCCACTTCAGGCACTTCTTCGGCCTCAAAGGTCATTCTTTGACGGCAAAGCTTGACAATCTTAAGTTCAACCCCTCCCCTCCCCCAAGATTTCAATGAACAGGAAACACAAGTGTGGGCACCTTGGCAGTAGCCTTTGACTGACGCCCCTTTCGCCGTGGTGCTTCGGCCTCCAAAGAAGTGTAAAAGTTCGAGCCAGGCATGATCGAGCGTTCCATTCAAGCCTCAAAGGTCATTCTTTGACGGCAAAACACAAGGTGAGCCAAATTTGAGGAGCCGCCTCATTCTCTGACTGCATCTGTCGAAGACGTCGTCGGCGTGTGGGAGGCTCATGTACTTCGTCCGAGACCTGCGATCCGCCAGGAGTTCAACCACACCGATTTGAATTTGTCACGGTATATTAAGGCCTTGACCTCCACATCAGAGTCACACTCTCGTTCAGAACGAAGTCGTTTCAGGGCAGGGTCAACGATCTCATCAGCATCAGCAGGAGGGGCGGCCGATCCTTTACCACGGCCTTTACCCCGACCTCTCCCACGACCCTTCCCCTTACCCTCTGCTCTCGCCCTTGCATTGTCAGCTTTCCGATGTTTTTCGGAAAGCTCTTCTTGCGCTGCTCTGAGCTCTTCGTTGACATTGCGACGGGCATCTTTCTGGAACTGACACAAGGCAAGTCTCAAAACAAGAGAACGTCATGATGGTGCCGGCAAACATACAAAACCGGCCTTCAAGACCAGAGCGCTGATCACTTGCATGGCTTTTTCATCCTTGATGTCTTCGATCTCAGGGATATCCTTCAAGTGCCCCTTGGTGAGTTCGTACAAGTCAGGCACTTGGAACAAGGGCTTCCTGTCCTGCCGGGACAACATGCCTGCACGCATGCCCGACAAAGAATTTCCAACGCCCCACCTTAAAGGCCTGGCGTTTCTCCAGGTCGTCCGACTTGGTATCCTCATCCTCCTCACGCTTCTCAGCGGAATCCAAGTCTTCCTTTGAAGGAGTCTGGGGTTGCTCACAACTAGGAGCATCTGGCTTTCCCTTTGCGAGTAGTCCCTCGACAGCAGGTTGGTGGGATTCAACTCTCCGACCTGCTTCCTCACGTTGAGCCACAAACAGCTCAGGTTGTGCTTCCTCCATCACTTCAGCTGGCCATTGCGAGTCGCTTTCAGGCAAGCCACCTTCCTGAGTCCGAGGGGGCTGTGAATCAGGTTCTCGAAATCGAGATTGGGAATCATGGGCAGGTGCATCTGAATGGACAGCGGCAGGTGCATCCACCTTCGAGACTGGCTCCGCAATCTGCGGATGCTTCATGAGCTCAGTGGCACCTGGCCCTTCAGCAGGTGGAGTATCTTCTAATTCAGTTCTGGCAGGCGTGGATGACTCAGAAGAATCAGAGACATCAGTGC